ACAGTGTAAAGACAGAAATACAAAATCAGAATTGGTAAAATGGAATTATGTTGAATTTTCAACTACCATAATACATGCTTTTTCACAAATCAATAAATCCACAGAAATTACAAAAAGATGAATTTAAACTCAAAATGACAGATTTAACTCATAAACATATTCTTAAACAGCAAATATCAATCTTGCCTTATGTTTTCTAAGAAACTAATTTTTAATTCCTAATGGAACATGCAATATGTATTTGATGAGTTTATTGAAATACTACTGTAAAAAACATAATTGTTTTATTTCACAGAATGCAAGGTTACAATGAAATAGTTTGGAGAAAAGGGAAAAAAACTAGGAAATTCAAGAATCCAATAGCATATAATCATATGAAAAAGCATCTCAGTTAATTAAACAAATTAAATGGCTGGAAGTTACTTAAATTGCTATACTTTCTTGGGGAGAACATGGGAATTTTATATAAATATAAAACAATAAATCAAAGCCAAAGGATACTTGGCATACTTGTCTTTGGTAGTAAAGGAAGAAATGCTGGCATCAGAGATTTACAGAACTAATGCATATTAGTAGGAACACTGCCTGTGACTTAGAGCTTTGCAACCATCTGCAAGGGGTTACTTGCATCAGTTTTAAAAAAGCATGGGAAGGGGAGTCAGCAGAGGAGGTGAAGGCTGGCAGACCTCTGCAAGCTTCCTTCAGTGTGCACCCACATTACTCTAGGAATCACGCCAAGGGAACATACATTTGTGTACTGGAATGTGGCTTTTTTCTTTTCTTCATCTGTGGCTTCTTTGTGTAGGTGTTGGCTACCATTACTCATAAGTGGAATATCACAAATGTAATAATATTAAAGGTAGATAATTAATTCACAGTTTTATCTAAACCAATGCAATATATTTTTACTTGGAAGAAACTTTTGGCTATTTGGAAATAATCCAGAGATTTCTGCTATTCATGAAAAATCCTCAGCATTTAGCTTCTTAACATTTTTACATTTTAAAACTTTTCATATCTTTCATCTCACTATTTTTTTATCATAAATCAGGATAGCTCTTTTATTGAGTTCTGTATCTTTCCTCCAAGTGATTTGAGTAGTTAAATGAAATTCACAAATCACTAAACTAAGGAAGTTTAACATCTTCTATAAGCAAAGTTTTGTTCTAACCTGATTTTTGCAGGCTGCATATGGATATGGATATGACTATATTTCACTCAAAATTAGATAAGCCAATAAGAAAAATAGTAATATGTTTTATGAAGTTATTAACATATGTACTATTGATTACAACATAGACACACATTTCCTTGAAGGAAAAGAGGCACTTTTGAGAATCTATGTGGTAGAATTAAAGGATCAATTTCTCAAAAAAATAATAATAATCCTGGATTTTTTTAAGGCTACATACTTAAATATAATTATTTTCATGAACACCAGCACAGTTAACAGCATTCACCTATCAAATTACATTCTATTCTAAAAATACATTTTTAAATTGAAAAGTTAACAATATGTTAGTAAAGTGCATGTCTACTGACTAGAAAAGAGAAAATTATACTTTCTTATTGTTTTGGGTAACTGTATGGAAATTATAGTGGTATAAGAGACCCATGGGTGTAAACATTGGATTTTGACAGGCATTGTAGTGGTCTTTTTTTTTTTTTTTTTTGAGACAAGTTCTCTCTGTATTGCCCAGACTTGTCTAGAACTCATTAGCTTAAATGATTCTCTGTCAGTTTATTGGGAAGCCAGGACTACAATCATGTGCCACTGCACCCAACTCTCGTTTATTTATTTATTTATTTTGCTAAGAATTTTACAGATTTTTTTTTTTTAATCCCTGCCCGCATAGCATTTTAATCAATGCCATTTCTAGGTCATTTTTTAATTGTGCAAATGTTTATAGAAAAATACAAAAATAAACTGAACTTTAACTTTTTTATAGTACTAGATCTATTTTTTTAAGTTCACAATAAGATC